CATCCCACAGCAATCCTGTTTCCTCAGACTGGATGCTTCTGTGTTCTCATCCGAATGGGTCTCAGCTGAACTGCTTCTTTCTCGAAAGCCTGAATGCTTAACCAGCCAAAAGCTTAACCAGCCAAATGCTTCTAGTTTCTGGTCCTCATGCCTTATATACCTTTCTGCTTTCTACCATCCCTCCCTGGGATTAAAGGCTCGCTTTCTGGGATTAAAGGCGTGAGTCACCATGCTTGGCTGTATCCTTGAACACATGGATTTCTGCCTCTGGAATGCTAGGATTAAAGGCGTGTGCGACCACTGCCTATCCTAAGTATCTAGTGGCTTTTCTGTTCTCTGACCCCAGATAAGTTTATTAGGGTACACAATATTTTGGGGAACACAATACCACCACAAAACCCTGTCTCGAAAAACCAAAACCAAAAACAAAAAAACCCCCACCTCATCCTAACACAGGGTTTCCCCCTGTATCTTTATAAACCGCCTTTTTCCTATGGGCCATGTCTGTCTCCTCTATCCAGAGGCAGTCCCTTGTCCTTCTGGGACAAATGCCCCTCCTACCTCTCCCTGCTCCCTTCCCCTTCTCCCTCGTCCTCCGTCTCCTGTCTTTGTCTCTTGTCCCTGCCCTCTGTCCCTCTGGGGCAAATACATCTCTTTTGTGCTGAGAACTTGGTCTGAGGACTTTGTCTTGGGGTCCTGAGCGATACTTTTCCTTGTACTCACCCTGTGCACCCCGGGAAGCTCCTGGCTTGCTTAGTTCCCTACTTGGCTCCTGCACTGTGCCCTTTCAGCCCTTGTAACCCTGGCCCCCCCAGGCTGCTCTGGGATGCTCTACTTACTAATCAAGACTAGGTAAATTCCAGTGCTCCAGGTCCCCCCACCCCGCTTGACCAATGCTCCCCTTCTCAGTGCTTGCGGTGAGATCTTGTCAGTCTTTGTAGTAAAGTTAAGAGTGTGTGAGCTCTGGATGGTAGAGACCGTGTCCTTCAGGAGTGTTTGCTGAGTGGGATGCTAAGGTTTGGTGGGAAGAACAGTTAAGAAATTCCACCACCACCACCACCACACACTTGACTGGCCACACTGTGGGCAGATGACAGCCCCTCCGCAAGAGGGATGACCAGGGCTGAAGAAGGAATAGAAAGCTGGGATGTCCCCACTCACTCTGTGCAGCTTCAAGTGGCGACAGTAGAAGTTCCCCAAGTTACTTTCTGTCCTACTGGGTGTCACAGAACATTTTCTTTCACAGTTTCACTGAGGCTATGCCCGTTTTGACGGATGCCCCCTCCTTTAGCATAGCCTGGTATATGGGCACATGGTGCACACCTATGGTGATCATGCAGAGTCCTGAAATGTGATAAAATTCCCCATTTGTCTAAAGCTCTGGCTGATGTGGAATCCACAGAGGGTGGTAATGAACTTGGCTAGAACGTGCAGCTTGTGAAGCCTACAGTCTAACCTCCCCCTCGGCTCATTAAACCTGAGGCTTTGCCAATCGATTTAAACATTTTCAGGAGACTGTTGCTAATCCCCCAGTACAAAGTGGCACTGGCTAATTGTGGGTAGTTGATCTAGAGGAGATAGTAATGGACTCTGAGGGTGGATGTGGCTGGCTGAGTGATCACAGGGAACCAGAGGAAAAGGCAACTTGTGTGGTATTTGCTCCCTAATTAAAAAGAAGCGCAGATGGCAGGCTGTCTGGATGTGGGTGGGTGCCTAAGAATATGGGTCATAGACCTTGCAGAGGAGATTCTAGGAATATTCCAATTAGTACTGAAAGCTTGCTTTCTCTCCCTCAGCAATGGTTTTCTATGTAGTCCAGGCTAGCCCTCAAACACATGTACTCCTTCTGACTCAGTCTCCCAGATTATGAGCATGTGCCACAATGCCCAGCAAGTATTGTTTTCTATACATGGAGTCGGGGGAACTAAAAGAGAAATGAAGTCACAGGAATAGGGGTCTTCTCTTTGTTCCTGATGTTCGTAAGGCTAACCAGAAGTGATCGCTCTAGGCCAAGGTCTTTTTAAAGAGATGATCTTGTAGAGTTAGTCTCCTTAGTTCTGCGACCAAGTTTAAAGCAAGTTCCATCACCTGGGACAAAGCAACAGATGACTAGAAAGTCAGGAAATAGACTTTAGCTTGTGGGAGCACCTGTATTTCTCAAGGTGTTAGGTCTGGACGAGTATGTCCCATAGACCCGTGGGCTAAAGGCACAGTCTCAAGCCTATGGTACAACTGGACATGGTGGACCCTTTAAGAGATGGGACCTAGTTTGAGGTCTTTAGGTCACTGGGAGCATATCATTGTAGGAAATTATGGGTAATTCCTAAGAAGGTGAGTGAATCTGACTTGATGTGTTGTTCCACCATAAATATAAAGTAAAGGGGATGATCAGTCATGTAAAGCCTCCAAAACTGTGGGCCAAAACACTTTCATCTTTGTAAGTTGATTTATCCAAGATATTTGTTGCGGTAACGGAAAGCTGACCAATTTGAGGTGAACCTACAGGCAGTCTAGTACAATGATTCCTGTGGTTGGCTCACTAACAGGGTAGAGGATCAACTGTTTTGAAAAAAGAAAAAAAAAAGATTGTGATCTAGTATAATTAAAGGTGGTTTTGTACCTCTGTCAAAGCTCTTAGGAAATCTGTCTGTACTGAATGCTTCTGCCGGTGTGCTCTAGCTTGGAAAATAATTCCATCTTACATCTCTGGAGCCCTGAGTTCCTCTGTGGAGAACGAAGCTGGCTTGGTGTTATTGATCTGACTCAAGCGTGTGTGTATGGAATCCACTGTGGTGACAGAGACAGCAGGGGCTGGATACCTGGAGTGGGAAGGAGTCCTTTCAAACTCTTGTCTTGCTTCAAAGGACTCTCTGTGCTCCGTCTCTCTTCCTCATGGCGTTCTTGCAGGAACTGTGCCGTACCCAGTCTCCCTTGTGGACAGCACGTTCTAATTCATGGACTAGGCTCACAGCCCGTCCTGAGGCTTTGCAAACTAGACACCGCAGGATTTGGGGAAACGATCAGTGTAAGGAAGGTCCTAGCTACTACAATGATTCTGAGGAAATGTGGGCCTTGTCTTCAAAGAGCTGTAAAATCAGGAAGGCCGAACTGTGCCAAGATGGGTTAAATATGAGGAATATGAGCAGAGCACCAAGAACAAAAGGAGAGAGGCATGAATGTCATGTAAGGGATCGGAGAAGATGCCACCTCACGTCGTCTGATCCGGCTCCTGCAGAGTAAGTAGGACTTCTGTAGGCTCCACAGGTACCATCCCCATGACCCTCTGAGTGTCCACAGGATGCTCTCAAACCTCAGAGACCGTCCATAAAGCCACTCAGCACTGAAAAACAAGGAAGTAACCTCTCTCTCACTGTGCCCTCACTCACACAGTACCCAACCATAGCGTGCCTCCCATTTCCTCCATGTCTGACTGGCAAATTCCCCTCTTCTCAGATTCTTCCCCCTAGTTTCTCTCTCTTCCCGGAAGTCCTGCCTATCCTCTCCTACCTAGCTACTGGCCATTCAGCTCTCTATTAAATCAATCGCAAGGTGCCTTAGCAGAGTCACATCTTCACAGTGTGCAAAAAGATTTTCCCACAACACTTCCAGTTTGCTCTCTCTGTGTTTGTGGTTGAAAAATCATTTAGCTTCCTGCTCTGGCTATCATGCTTGACTGCCGCCGCGCCTCCCTTGCCACTATGGACTCATTCTCTGGAACCACAAGCCAAAACAACTCTTTCTTCTATAAATCACTTGTGGTCATGGTGCTTTGTCACAGAAGCAAAAAGTAACTCATACACTCTGTGTCAAGGAAATAAGGATGGAAGTGGTCCTCCTGCCTCAATGTCTCCTGAGTGCTAGGATTACTGGTATGTGCTCCTGTGTCCAATATGAAAGTAAATATTATTTACATTACAGGGCAAAAACCTTTCTTATGAGGCTGCTCAATGCTGTTGTGAGGAAAGCAGCGACACTGAACACCCATGAAAACAGGTGTGGCTGTGTGCCAATAAAACTTTATTTATAGACCCTGAGGTTTAAATTTTGTGGAATCTCCATGTCATGAGATATTCTTCATATTCATGACAAGTTCTTTTGATGTCTTTCAAGCTGTAAAAAGCACCCCTGTGTTGCAGGCTATACACTAAGTGTGGGCCAGGTTGTTCCCACAGGTGGGGGCGTTCCCCTTTGCCAACTGTGCTAGCTCCACGTGGGACTCCAGTGTTCACTGCAAGGACCACAGAGAGTCCTCCCTGTCTGCCGGTCAAGTCTGACTTCTGTTTCTAGGTTCGGTACAGTAGGGGTCTGAGGAGGCAGGAGTGATTAAATGATGGTGCTAAGTATCTGTGAGGCCCTGCTTCTTGGGTTGTTTTGTTGTTGTTGTTTGTTTGTTTTGTTTTGGCTTGGTTTTTGGTTTGTTTGGTTTTTTTTTTTTTTTTTGTGTGTGTGTGTGTGTATGTGTGTGTTTTGTTTTTCCCAACAAGGATCTGGCTGATGCTAGACTGAGACCATGGGGCTTCAGTGCTGAGAGGGGCTGGATGATTCTAGAAATAACCCCTCCTATTTTTAACACCCTTGCCCAAGTCACAAGGTTTCTAGTTTCATTCCAAACAATTCCAGAGCTCAGACATTCAAGTTGGAATTCAGAACCTCCAAGCTATCCCCACCTCACCTCTAAAAGTCCCCAGTGCCCCAGGCAGTGGTCCCCTACTTTCCTCATGCTGTGACCCTTTAATACAGTTCCTCATGTTGTGGTGACCACCCTCAACCATAACATTATTTTCGTTGCTACTTCATAACTGTAATTTTGCTACTGTTATGAATCATAATGTAAATGTCTGATATGCAGGATATTGGATATGTGACCCCTGAAGGGGTCCTGACCACACAGTGAGAACCGCTGCATCTGAGGGACACTCCTTCCTGTTCTCCAGGGTTTAGGGTACTAGGCCTATAGCCAGGAATCTCGCAATTGCTATGGAAGGCACAGGGGAAAAGGGAAGTGTCTGAGATCTTTTATTTCAAACCACAGATTCTATCCAGTTAAAAATGTCTGTTGGGGACCCTGGAAACCAAGGGGGGATGGTCGGGTCATGGAAAAGGAGAGTGGGGGAGGAGCTGGCTCCAGATGCTGATGAAGCTCAGAACTGGTGAATGAGTACAGGCTGTCCTTGGAAGGTTTCTAAAGATGACCAGACCAGTTCTTCAAAGACAACAGGCATGGTGGGCAAGCCTGAGCTGGGGCAGGCTCAAGAGAGGGCCCTACAGATGCCTGCCTGCCTGCTTGCTCTGACCCTGTGCAGGTCTGGGTTCATGTCCATGTGCACCATTGGCAGAGGAACTCAGAGGGAGGGGGATCAGGGCAGATGTGAAACTCTGGTCTGGGCTTCATCTCCCCAGAGCTAGTGTTCCGGATCAGCATCCATGCAGGACTCCCAGGGGTTCTGGGGCATCCGAGGCAGCGAGAAGAGCAGGAGGAACAGCCCACCGAGGAAGAGCAGGGTGAATGCGGCGCAGGCACAGGCGAAGGACCATGAATAGTAGTACTCGATCCAGACGGTGTCCTCACTGTCAATCATGCGCTTCACCGATTGCCTCATGACCTCCACGGAGACAATAAGGCAGAGCCCTGGGGACAAAGCCAAGAGTCTCAGTGACTGATGGTATTCCTGCTGCCACCCAAGCCTCCCCCAACCTCTGTTCCCTGCCTTTGACTCGATCCTGAGAGGAAAATGCTTCTAGATGGTTCTAACCGGGAGTCTGCAAAAGTGATCCATGTCTACCACTTCCCACCATGCAGTTCCCACATCCTGCAGGAGGTTAGCCAGAGACTGGCCACATTTCCTTCCGTCTTTTGCTAATTGCTCTCTGGGGAGGTTCCTCAGTGTTCCTCCCAAGGGTAGTGCCTTTGGGGGAAAAGGAACAAAGCAGGTGAAGCCTGAGTACGGAGTGGGGAGCCCTAGGGAATCCCCCTCTTACCCAGGCACTGCAGGGCCCCACTCTACCTGCAAAGGCATAGAACATGGATGCTGGCCTCAGCAGATAATCACGCTTATTCCCAAAGGACAGAAATGCGCAGATGGAGCCCACAATGACGAAGCAGAGGCTGAAGATGGCGATGGCCGCTGCTGAGATGCTGTACTCTGCAAAACGAAGGGGGCCTCAGAACCAGAGCCTTTCCAAGCGTTTTCGTACCATCAGGTGGCTCAGTGAGCTGCCACAGCCTGGATTCCCATTTCACACCTGACTAAGGCTAACTCACTTTCTTACTCACTGCAGGTCGGGTGCTGTGGAAGAGCGGGGCCAGATGCTAACAGGATGGATTCACGTATCTTTCCAGGGCACTAAATTGCAAGGTTCCCTGAGGCAAAGGCCTCAAAAGGAGGCAGGACACCCCGTGGCTAGAGACATTCCTAGAGCCAAAGCCTTCCTGAGTGACAGGTGGAAGGAGGCACTGAGCTGTAGGTGGTCTGTCTTAGATTGACAAGGGGACTCTGGGAGATTGACAACATGTGGGTGTTACCTGGCATGTGAGTGTGAGGATGTGTGTGGGTTGCCTAAGAATCCATCAGAGTGTGTGCCCGTGTCTGCATGTGAGAATCGTGTGTGTGTGTGTGTGTGTGTGTGTGTGTGTGTGTGTGTGTGTGTGTGAGAGAGAGAGGGGGGGGGATATCTGTCGGCATATGTGGATGCACGTGTGTGCCTTGCTCATGAGGCTGTCAGCATGTATATATCCACACGTGAGGATCTGTCTGCGTGTGCATACATGTGTGAGTGTTCCTTTCATTTAGGCTCTCCGTGTGTATGCATTCTCCATGCACAAGGATCTCTTGGTACGTGTATGCATGTGTGATTGTTCCCTTCATTGCACAAGACTCTGTTGGTATGCGCATGCATGCATGCATGGATGCATGCATGAGTGTTCCCTGCAATAAGACTCTCAGTGTGTATGCGTGCCTTGTGTGTGAGGATCTGATGGTGTGTGCATGTGACTACGTGTGAGGATCTGCTAGCATGTGTGGGAGTGTGTCTGTGTCAGCTCTTGTATACTGTGTGGCCGGCCACCTGCTCCCACACACCCCAGACTCTTCCTGCTGCTGAGGTCTCTGAGTTCCACCGATGAAGGGCAGGAATACCATGTTTTCCTCAGCTCAGAGGGCTATTAGTAAGTGCGGGCAGGACTACCACAGTCCCCACAGAAATTCTCACCCACCCACCCTGTGATCCTGCTCCAGCACTGTGAGTACCCGCACCATTTTCTTAGTCCTCTGGGCTCTGCTGGATGGAATGTGTTCCTGCTGCAATTTACAGTCGGCCAGAAAGTCTTAATCCACTGTCCCTTACACCAACAAATGTACTCCGAGTACCTGGACCCAGAACGGATTGTGTGTGCCGGGATGTGACAGGGCACCAGCCTACAGCTGCTTTTCATCCTGAGCAGAAGTCAGCACGTTTCTGCCAAGTGACTCCTAGCTCAGCAGCTGTGACACCGCCAGCCACTTTCCACCGCCCCTGCCACCCAGCCTCACCTTTCTGAGTGGTGAATTCAAAGATCTCTGAGCTCTCTCCTGGGTTGAAGTGTCTGAAGTAGGAGCAGTTCTTGTCTGCAAAGGAGGAGACAGTCTGTGAGCTGGTAGAAAGGGCAGGGGTCTCCCCATAGGGCATGCGGAAGCCTATGACTGCCCAACTTCCCCCACATTCTGAATCTGAGCCAAACATTTCCCTGGCCTTTAGCACGCCATTCCAGCAGACACAGGATGGCAAAGGACATTGGAACAGCATCAGGGAGTAAAGGATGATAGATTCTCGGGGCAGACAGCACACAAGCCCTGAGCCCATTAGGCAGTTGGGATAACTGAGACCCAGACTCACATTCCTGAAGTAGGGGCCATACAGGCTTAGCAAATAACCAGTCAATGATCTTAGCATGTGGATCCCTCTCCTGGGGACCCAGGGCAATGCCTAGAGGCCAGGGGTTGTGCTAAAACCTCTCAGCTCACAAACAAACCTACCACAGCATGAGTTATCCAGTGTGAAATGTTAATAGTGGTAATGGTGAGGGACCTTGGGTTAAATCAGAGGCAGATCCCTATCCTCCATTCACAGTGGGGCCTGGGGAGCAGCATTTTTCAAGAGATTTCCAGGGGCTAGGGAGATGTCTTAGCTGTTAAAGTACTTGCCACACAAGCATGAGGATTCCCAGCAGCCATGTAAAAAGCTGGGTACAGGGATATGAGTTTGTGGTCCCAGTGCTGAGGGACCAATCCCTAGAACTCATTGACCAGCAGCCTAGCCAATTGGTGAGCTCCAGTTCAGTAAGAGACTCTGTCTCAAAAAACAAGGTGGAGAGCAATTGAGGAAGACACCAGATGTCAACCTCTGGCCTCCACGTGCACATATGTACAGGTGTGTGTGAACCCCACCCATGTGGGGGGAGGCGGGGAGGGAGGAGGAGAGAGATGGGGGAATGGAGAGGGGAAGGGAGGGAGGGAGAGAGCTTTCCAGAAGATTCTGGTGCTCGTCCAGGTTGGCAACCTCAGCTCTGCCCTACAAAGGGCTCTTCGGCATGTCATTTCTTCAGACCCTCAGGACCTGAGTCATGTGGGCCCCAGACAAAACATCTCCTGGCAAGCTCCTTGGCCACTGAGCAATGTCAGGAAAGCCATGTGGACAGTTAGACTAGATGTTATGGGCAGCTGGAGAGGAAGGGACTTAGTGTAAATAGAGCCATGAGGCTCTTAGATACAATTCCACTGGCAGCTTTCTTCTTTAGCTTCCTCCATTAGTCTCTTCCATAACTTGATGTGACGCCAAAGCATAGCTGCGGTCCTTATTGAGTACATTCAATATTCTTTATCCATGAATTACTGAATTAGGAAGTATAAGAATGGGTTATTTTTTATATTATTTCCTATTTGTTTGCTTGTTTTTGAGACAGGGTCTCACATAGCCCAGGCTACCCTTGAATTGGCTGTATATCCAAATATAGCCAATGACACCTGGGACTTCCGATTTGTCTGCCTCTACTTCCCACGTGCTGGGGCTCCAAGTCCTGGCCACCACTTCTGGATTATGTGGTGCTGGGGGTGGAGCCCAGGAGCTTTGTGCAAGCTCTCCCAACTGCACCACACCCTCCTCCTTGTTTCCTGTTTCTTAGGAAAACCAAATTAGGTTGCTTTTTATTTACGTGAGGTCCTTTCTTGGTGTCTTTTTCTTGTGTCTCTGTCTCCCTTAGTATAAAAAGCATCTCTGCTTTGAGTTGCAATGCCATTGAGCATGGACTCACAGCTTCACTTCCAGGCTACAGTTGAACGCTCCTTCCCCAAAGACCAGTACCCAGTTTCTTTTTTTTTTTTTTTTTTTGGTTTTTTTCGAGACAGGGTTTCTCTGTGTAGCTTTGTGCCTTTCCTGGAACTCGCTTTGGAGACCAGGCTGGCCTCGAACTCACAGAGATCCGCCTGGCTCTGCCTCCCGAGTGCTGGGATTAAAGGTGTGCGCCACCACCGCCCGGCCCAGTTTCTTTTTGATATGTGCCTCGGGGCTGCCACCGTCATGGCTTTGAACGGGATGGTTTCCTTCTATCTGGCTACATCATTTTACTGCTACTTAATCCTGTCCTTCCCCACGCCCCCTAAGTTCAATTGCTGCCTCTCCTGAGGTCGAGGACCAGGACGCCTGGAGCTGGGGTCTGGTCTGGCAGCAGCAGTGACTGTTCCCGGCAGCAAGCTGCCTTTCTCCCAAGCTTCTATATTTAAATCACTTTTCTTTTGAGCCAAGCTACCTGGGGTGTCTGAAGACCAGTGGTGATGTCAGACTCAACACTGCTCTTTTCTCTCCCAGCATCCACAGCTATTTTAAAGCATAATACAACCCTCTTATATTTATGAGATCAGTAGATGTAGATTCTCTTGAATCACTGCCTCAAAATGGATCACGCTATGTGACACGTCTCCCTGGGTCTCCCTCTGGACAAAGGAACATTTCTGTTTCGTTCTTGAAGGGCCAATTTCGGTTGCCATTGAAAACCCTCCAAGAAGAATCGGCTGAATTCAAGTGCATTTCATGGTCAGCTGCTTTCCCTGCTACTCGCTGCCTGTGAGTTAAGAGCCTTCCGAGGGAGGGTTGTGAGGTACAGGCAGCCTGGAGAGTCTGGTGACCAGATGGTTGACCCTTCTGGGCTGCAGAGGCGACTCTTGCATAGCATGGTAGGGAGTCAGCTGCCACCAAATAAATGCTGGGTTCCACTCAGGGTGGACAGCAATGTGCAGACAGACATTCTGGATATCAGGGCAAAGAAGTCTGAGCCCAGGTGCACTGGGATAAGCTGAATACCTGCAGGGACCAGGCAGGTGTCACTGGGGGGACTCTTCCTTGGGTAATATACATAATGTCTCTTTCTCCTCCGTTAAATGCTCTCAAATGTGGGTGATGGGATAGGGGACATTAGGATTACTGGAAGCCTCAGTTTCTCCCTAATATCCTCAACTCTGGACCAGAGGACAGACAGGTTAACGCATCTTGCACTTGGCAAATGAAGAAGGCCTGTGTCCTTGGCTTTCAATCTGAGAGAAATCTGCTCCAGACCCAGAGGGCTGCCCGAGGGGAGAACACAAACCTATTCACAGTCCCTGATGGCCTCAAAGATGGAGTAGCCACATCAGACCTCAGTCTCATTCAGCACCAACCAAGCCAGCGCCTTTAGAGGACAGCACAAGGTCCTATAGATGAGCACACCTCAGGTGACTTAGTTTTTTACACCTTTGCCCCTTTGATGGATGGTAGTATTCAGAAAACCGAGCATTCAAAAAAGCCTGAAACAGGTGATGTAGTAAAGTGTTTGCTGTAAAGCATGAGGACCTGAGTTCGATCCTCAGAACCTCTGGGGGTGGGGTAACGGTGGCATTGGTGACCTGCACTTGTGATGCCAAACTGGAGAAGCAGAGACAAGTGGATCCCTAGGGCTGTCAGACAGACAGCTGAGCTAAATCAGTGAGCTCCAGGCTCAGTGAGAGACCCTGGCTCAAACTATACTGTGGAGAATAATGGAGACACCTCATGTAGACCTTTGTATTTCATGTGAACACACACACACACACACACCATCTGAAGCAGGCCATAAGTAGGTCACTTAGTCACAGGTAAGCTTGGAGAGGCGAGGGATAGGGACGATCTTGTGTATGGCACAGATTCTGAGCTCTCCTGCTTCTGATGTCATTTCCTGTCTCTAATACCAGGTATAACAAACACCCTTGCGTAGATTTGGGGGCTCAAGCTCTGCCTTGATAGCCCCTGTCCCCTCACTGTGCAGACACAGACAGTGATTTAGATCAGGCAGAGATCCCAGGACCAAGAGGATACAGGACCATGATTAGCATCTCTGAGGTTATTGCCACCTTTTTTGTCTCTGAAACTGGCTTATAATGATTCTAAGATTTCTCTTTTCTACAAAACTCAGTGGTATAAAGATGTGAACTGGGGGCCGGGCGGTGGTGGCGCACGCCTTTAATCCCAGCACTCGGGAGGCAGAGCCAGGTGGATCTCTGTGAGTTCGAGGCCAGCCTGGTCTCCAAAGCGAGTTCCAGGAAAGGCGCAAAGCTACACAGAGAAACCCTGTCTCGAAAAACAAAAACAAAAAAAAAAAAAAAAAAAAAAGATGTGAACTGGGCTATTCTTAAAAACATACACAGCCAGCTGTGGTGGCACATGCCTTTAATCTTGGCACTAGGGAAGCAGAGGCAGGCAGATCTCTGTGAGTTCCTGGCCAGCCTTGTCTACACAGTGAGTTTCAGGCCAGTCAAGGCTACATAGTGAAACCCTGTCTCAAAAACAAAACAAAACAAAATAAAGTGAGCTCAGCTCAGGTTTGCCTGGGAACTGGGGCAGGGGTGGCTGGCTACCATAGTGTGGTTCCGTCACCGGCTGTGCAGAATCCAGGGTGGCAATTTCAAAGAACCAGAGTAGCAGGCATACGAAAGCCCAAGGTGACCTTTAACAGGGGATAGCTCTGAGTTGTCACTGAGTTATCACCTCGTAGTGCAGATTTAATAGATTTAAAATAACTGGATTGTATAAATCCCCAGGAACTAGTGGCTTAGAGCTATGGAGACAGTCTCACCTATGATGCCCATGTTGCTTTCAGCAAGCTTATAAAGATGAATGCTCTCCCCATCATCACTGAAGAATTCCTAAGATGAGCTAGGGGTATCCCCAGAGTGCTGTTCTTCCATGGGGAAGTCTAGTTAAAGCTTCAGCCCCCACCCAACACAAGTTCATGTGGGTAGAGGAGGGAGCCTCTGCGTGAGTTCTGTGGATAAGGCAACCAGCCTCGGCATGAGTTCTGTGGGTAGGGGAGGGAGCCCTGGAGATCCCCAAGCTCAATGACATCATGCTCTTCTTACACCCACAATCCTTGCACTGAGGAGAGATGTGTGTGTAGAGAAATGCGATGCCAGAGTTGCCCTAGAGAGGCAGAACCTGAAAGAAATGAGGGCATGGAATGGTCCTTCAGGGGCTTCCTGGCTGACAAATGGTCTCCCCTGTAAACTGAGGAAGCCTCTCCTCCTACTCAAGAGGCATTGGGACCAAGCTTAAGTGTTGATTTTGT